ATTATTACCATCACTCAGTTTCAAGACTATCATCTCTTGCTCAGATTATGACAAAGCCATCTAATCAGTCTCTGCTCTTACTTTTGCTCTCATTCAGGCTCTCCTGAACAAGGCAGCCAGAGAGATCCCATTGAAGGGAAGTATTATATCACTCCCCTGGCTCAGACACTGACATTGGCCTCTAATCTCAATTAGTGTAAAAAGTTAACATCCCTATAAGAGATCTGCCCAGAGACACAACCCCATTCACCTCCCTCACTTTTACCTTTGAGTTCTCCTACTATTCTCTCCCTTACAATTTCCACTTCAGCCACACATGCATTCCTGCTATTCACAAATATGCTACGGAAGCTCCAACCTCTGGGCATTCTGCTTTGGTAAAGATTTACCTCCTTGGGAACCCAATGGGGGTGCTATGAGTCAGAACTGACTCAGTGGCAGTGGTTTTATTTATTTATAAAATCCTTCTGACCTAAAGGCTCCTCTACTAGACACAGCTCTGTTCCTTACCCATTTCAGGCCTTTGCTAAAAAGCCACTTTTTAGTGAAAAATTTCCTGACCACTCTATTAGAAATGCAACGTGACCTCCTTCAACCCACAAAACCTACCCTAGCACATCCCTGTCCAACCTTTTTCCTGGTTGTTATCATCATGTATTATACTCTGAGTATTCCTACTTGTTAAATATCTTTCCCTACCAAAATGAAAACATACTAAGCTTACCTCTTCAGTCTCTTCATTTCTCATTTCATAGGACACCTACAAGTAATCCCTAGACTCTGTACTCTCTGTCACTCATAAGCAAGTTAAGTACATGGTGGGAAGGTCTCCTCCCCACCTCCACCTGTTGTTGCACAGGCTCTTCTACTTTTCCATTTGGATTTTCACTGATTTCCTTATGTGTATGAAAGCTTTAAGATAAATTTACAGAAACTACTAAAGCAACAGGTAAACTTCAGAAATTGGGCTAAACCAAACCAAACCTGCTGCCATCAAGTCAATTCTGACTCATAGCAACTATTTAGGACAGCAGAGTAGAACTGCCCATGTGGTTTCCAAGGCTGTAAATCTTTAAGGAATTAATCTTCCTCTCGCAGAGCAGCTGGTGGGTTCAAACTGCTGAACTTTTTGGTTAACAGCCAAACACTTTAACCACTATGCCATCAGAGCTCCTTGAACTTGGGCTAAGGATACCTAAATCTGGCATACGGCACTGCACTTAACTAATATAAAACCCAGGACATAACAATCACTGTAATTAATGCTACCGTATTTCTCAAGCTTTGTTTGAGTAAGTATGATTGTCACAAACATGCTCTCAGTTACTATTTGGCCAATAGCTTCCAGTGTTTTTCAATGCCAAACACTCTATGACTTTTTTTTCTCTTCTACTTCCTGCTTTAACTTGTTTTAATATATTCTTCAAATATTTTCCCTCTTGCCAGACATAGCACGTTAACTTATAAAAAAGTTTCTGAAGAGTATCAATAAAACTTTAGGCTAAGAACTGAATGGTAACGAAGAGACAGAATCTGACATTAGCTAAAGGAGAGTCAATCTATGAGAAAAATGATAAAGTAAATTAATAAAAACACAAAAAATCCAAATCAATGAATTCATGAAAGAAACAACTGAAAATCTTACCCACTAGATTATTACATACCTAACTGGAAAGCATTTATTTCTCTGTCACAAAAAACATTAAAAGAAACAAAATTTAAAAAAACAAAAGGTCTTTTATAATGTATTGGTTATATCCTCATCCCTGTAGTCACACAGATACTGGTTCTGCCATGTCATCTATTTAATCTTGAATAATTAACTAACCTCTCTTCAGAGGTTTCATCTGCAAAATGGAAATTTAAAAAATTGTGTGTGTGTGTGTGTGTGTATATATATATATACTTTATAGGGTTTATGAATATAAATATCACATTTAAAGTGTTCTTTACCACAGTGCATAGGAGCTAGGGCAGTGCAGTGGTTAATGCATGCAGCAGATAACCAAGAGGTTGGTGGTTTGAACCCACCCACTGCTCCAAGAGAGAGCAATGAGGCAACCTGCTTCCACACAGATTTACTGCCTTGGAAATCCTATGGGCAGTTCTACTATGCCCTAAAGGATTTGGTTTTAGCACAGTGCTAGGCACAAAATAAATGCTCTATCAATGATAAAACCAAACGAAAAAAAAAGAAAGAACTCACTGCCACTGAGTCGATTCCGACAAATAAAGACCACCATTGGGTTTCTGAGGGAATAAATCTTTACGGAAGTAGACTGCAGAGCAGCTGGTGGATTTGAACCACCAACTTTCTGTTTAACAGTCAAATGCCTGAGGCACTGCACCACCAGAGCTCCTTCTATCTATGATAGTTATTTATATTAATTTTAAGAAAATGCTTTTCATATTGACCACAGTGAAAATTCACTTACTTGTCCGACTGCCCTGCATTTGCTGTGCTTTCAGCTCTCATACGAGTAAGTGCAGCAGCAGCTTCATCCAACGCACAACTAACAGATGATGTCAATCTCCGAAGCACTTCAGGGTCTGCAAAGGCTTTACCGTCAGCTGTGGATAATTTGCCTATTCCTAGTTTGTTATTTTTCACACCAATATGGATACACCCAAAAGGAAAAACAAAGTAAAATTCAAATTACTTAAACTTATATATGGTAACATGATAGAAATAACCTACCTACAAGTGGTACAGTAGACATATATATTGTCAGCCTAACATTTTGGGGAAAATTCTATAATTCTCTAATAATCTTATTCCTTCCAGAGGACTCATAAATACTGATTCTGTGCCCCCTGATGCCAAAAATTATTGTTGACCAACGCTGAGGCAAGTAGGAGTCTTCAATTAAGACTTTTGCCATAGCTGTGGAAGAAGAACCTCCTATGTTCAAAGGTAAATTAGTAAGATGTGAGTCATAAGTTCTTTAGCCACTTACTACCAGAGAGAAAAACTGCCCCAAATAAAGTTAACATAGAGAGTAGCAGAACACAGACACAGAAAGGAGACAAAGTCCTGATAAAAGCCATCACTATTCCTATACATTTTATAATTTAGCAAATGCTTACTCTGCCTTAAGAATGTTTAAGAGTGAGTTCCGGCAAGATGGCGGACTAGGCAGAAGGATTGCACAGACCCTCTTCAACAAAGAAAAGGGAAACCAATTAACACAGACACAGAAGATA